CTTCCTTGGCCTTGTTCTCCTCGGCCGCTTTATTGTAGGCCCACCTCATGTTGGAGAGCATCTTCTCGAAGCCCTCAGAATCCTCCATCCAGCTCTTCTCCCGCTGCTTCCCCTTCGCATGATACTTCCAGTCCTTCTGGTGGACATAGTACAGGGGGCCTGCAGGGCGGAGCTGCATAAACCCTGATAAAAAAATACGGGAGTCCAAAACGACTCCCGAATAAAATCGGAAAATTAACACACTTAAGTTTAAATCTTACTGAAAACAAACCAAGGTGCATGAGGGATTGCTGCATCCTCCTTTTCTCAGATATGCCACCGTTTTGCACTTACGACACATTCTCAAATCCGGCCCCGGCCGAGCCTCGGCCGGCACGGGCACTGCCGGGTCTTCCACCCGGACCTCCGACTCCTCGGATTCCTCCTCCTCCAAATCCACAGCTGCACCGAGCTTGCTCGCCGCCATTGCGGCCCAAATCCAAAAACACAGCTACAAGCACTCCAGAGCCCTCGAGCTCAAAATTCTAAGCATGGAGGCAAGAACTTCCACAAATCTGCTGCCCTTGCAAACAAAAACGAACATGAAGAATCTGCAGATCAGTCCTTGTCCTCGCAGTAGAGCGGCACGAGCACCATGGTCTCGACCTGGGCACAGGGGGCAAGGGGCTTCAAACCTACCGCGGGAGGCGGCGAACCTCCCGAAAACAAAAAACACTGCTTGGAACTCTCAAAGCTATGGCAGGCAGGCTCACAACCGAACTGAGGGCCCGGCAGGCAACAGGAATCTAATCCTATAGACCCTTAAACCCTCAAAGCGCCAAAATGGCCAAAATATCTAGATTTGTTAATTTACGTATTTATAGAATATAATATATAGAAAACACCTCGCAAGCCATGTTAACCTAGAGACGTGGACATGCATGCTTTGAGCCAGCTACAGATATATACAAAAACACAGAGTCTTCAAGTTGCATGCTGCACATACCAAATTTCATGTTGCAAAAGCATGGATCCAAAATGCAGGCACTCACAAAATTTCTGCTCGAAAGCGAAATCGTCATCGATCGTCGAGTCTCGATTGCAGCTCACCCAGCTATGGCTGCATGCTGCTCAGTTGCTCTTCTGCCCAGCTCCTGACCTGGGCCAAAGGCTCTCCAGCTCGAGCTTTTCGTAGGGCTTCCTCTCCTGTTGCATGCAATTGCTCCTTCGTGGTGGCGGAGCCGCCTTTCAGCTGGAACATCTGCCTCTTGCACTCTTTGTTCTTTTCGTTTCGCCAAATCATGCGAAAGGCCATGGTGTTGTTTGCTGCACGATACTCCTTCCGAAGAACCGCATTTGCAGGGAGAACCGCCACATCCCCATAGTTCGGATCCTGATCATCATCTGCAGCTGGAGCATCGACTGGAACCAGAGCGGCTTCGGCAGGGGCTTCGAGATCTTGGCCTGCTGCAGCATCATCTGCACCTGCAACTGGAGATTCTCCATCTTCCTGCGGAAAGCAGGCTGGCTTCTTGATGACTGCAGCTGGCTTCTTTTTGCTAGCTGCTTTTGCTTTTCCTTTAGGAGATGCTTTGGCTGCAGCTGCTTTGTCCAGCAGAAGGTTCGGGATCTCGCTCACGATCTGATGCCCATCGGACCACACTGCCACAGCAAAACCAGAAGGCCCCTTGTGCATCTTGGCAGCCTCTCGGCTGTCACCTGCAATTCGCAGCACCGTTGGTACTGACAAATCTGTGTGGAAAAAGCTGGCGGCCGATGCAGCCTGCTGGTATAGCTTGCTGATTTGGCCTGTAGGCAGAGGCCTTGGCCCATCTCTCGTATGGCTTGCAGGTTCTGCAGCTTCTGCCGGCTCCTTCTTAACTGTTGCACCTGCATCCGAAGAGGACGCAGAGACGTGAACCTCAAGTTTCCTTGTCGATGCCTTTTGGCATGTCGAGTCCAGCCTTTGCTTGATCTTCTTCTTCGGAGAGGCTTTGGGCGACCGGGCAGAGCCTGAGCTTGCCCTCTTGGACCCCTGCTTACATACTCTCCGGTAAACCGAGCAAGTCCTTGATGAAGAAGCACATGTCGTGAATGCTGTCGGCCAGCCTTCCTCCTGTGGACATGTTGCGAGTCTTCGTGAAGAGAGTCTTGTAAACTTCGTGAAGATGATTCGCAAACGTCTTCAGCTCCAAGCTTGGTGCCCCTGGCCACACCAAGCTCATTGATTCACGCATGACAGCTGCAGTCGGCCGAGTAGTGATGCCCAAAATCTCCTTCATGAGCACATGATGCTTCTTGCAAAAAGCATCCAAAGACAAGAGGGCATCTCCAGCTTCCACAGCTTGGAGATTTCCTCTGAAAGTCTTCATGAGATCTTTCCCGGTGGCACCATTGGACCTCCGACTCGACATTGCCATGCTGCTTACAAAAAACAGAATTCAAACACTCGAGCAAAAAAAATCGCAGATCCTGCAATATCATGCCAGTATTCCTTCGATCTTGCAACTGCACTGCCTGCAGCATGCATGCATGCCGAATGCCGCCGCGATCCAGATCATGCATGCAGGAGAGACATGCATATATGCCCTCCTGAAAAACAAAATTAATATAAAGATATATACATCGATATATATAGAGATAATAAGCGGTTTTATGGAAAACTGTCAGCCTTAATTAAAGCTGATTATATCAGCTCTAAATAAAGCTTTAACGCTTATCCTATAATTCTTAAAGAGGCGTCACCTTATTTAAAGCTTATTGGAGCTTCAGGGTAGGGTGGTGACAGCGGTGGGCCACCACCCGCTGATGGTGGGATGTGTGTGCCAGGCACGCCGTGCGCCAGCTGAGAGCACGCCCGCAGCATCGAGCAGGAGCGGGACATACACAGCGGAATTGGTGCTGTCGGCAAAAGGCAGCGAGGGTGGTTCAGCTTCGGCATACTGGACCGCGCCTCCGTGTTCCGCAGCATGCGCGGCAACGGGAGGCGGCGCGTGCGCAGGTTCCGTCTCGCCGGTGGTCGCTGGGGGCGATGGAAGTCGTGCCTGGGCAGAGCCAGTGGCAGCAGGTGCCATCTGCCATCGCTTTGGCGGAAGGTGGGTCCAGTCAAAGGACAAGGCACCTTCAAGTGAGGGCCGCCGCCCTCACGCAGCAAATCGGCTCCTCAATGACCCTCGAGCATTGCCCAGGCGATGTTCAGTGTGCTGATCTTCTTACCAAGCCCCTCGCAGGCCCTAGGCTGCATGAGCTTTCTTTGCTTGTGGGTTTGAGTGATGAGGTTGACCCTCCTTCTCTTGGAAAGGTTGAGGTTTTGAGTCGGTGTGGAGGCGCGCTGAGCAAGTGGCTCACTGCATTCACCGCTTTTGCCCAGGTTATGCCAGGCTCAGGCCAAGGCGAGGAGGAGGAGGAACTCCAGGGAGTGTCCTGTGGCCCTGGTTGTGGTGATTATAGCCATAGTGGGTTTGTGGGAAGGGATTAAGGTTGCAAGTAGGTCTTGCCGAGGACCTCCGTCGCCTTCGATTCGGGCGCTGAAAAAGAAGGATCGTTTTGAAAGGGCGGTGCGAGAAGCTCTCGACAGGGAGGTTACCTCTGCCACTCCGTCCTCCTCAGACCAGCCGATTAAGCGAAGGGGGAGACCATCCTCCCAACCTCCTTCTCAGAGGACTCCGAAGCCCTCTGTCACGACTTCATCTGCTACGACCACGACCCTATTTTTTTTTTGACGACTGCAAAGGTTGAGGAGTTCCCGGTCCCCGTGCAGACTGAGCGTAAGCAGCGGCTGGTCGCCGTCAACATTGGCCGTGCCGGCCCGGACAAAACCAAGCAGACCGGCACCGAAGGGTCTGGCGGCCGAACAGGCGAGCAAGGCAAACCATCGCGAGGTGAAGGCTGCCATGGTTGCAGGATGTTACAAGTGGCAAAGGGCGAGGCACGGCACGGGCCCGGCAGCGAGCGAGGAGGCGGACAAACTGGGCACCATCGGAGCTCCAACGGCCTCCGACCTCAAATGCAAAGACCACAAGCCAGCACCCTGCGAGCGCAGCAGCTCGGGGTAGGTGCGTGCCTTAGTCGCGCGGGCATGGTGCAGAGCCGCGCCACGGTACTGTCGCTGGTGCCGGCGCAAAGGCATCAAGAAAGGACACAAGGTTTTTTTTTTTTTCGGCGCACCTTTTTGCGACGGCAGAACGTGTCCGGTCGACCTAGAGTAGTTTGATGACCTACCGTTGCCTACCACTGAAGAGGGTGCACTCAAGGCACCACACTGCAGCTAGCGTGGGGGCAAGCGGCTTGCCGGGACCTCCTGGAGCCACCTGGCGTCAGCGAGGACCTCATGCAGGTCGGGCTCAGTGCCCTCGCTGAGCTCGGCAGCACTTGGAATCCTCGCTGTGTTATAATGATATAGGCCAGATAGGGTGGAGTATAAGTGTGTTACGAAAGGGTTATAAGTGCATGCTAAGTCTATACTAAGTATGTGTTAAGTCTGTATAATAATGGTTAAAAGATGTTATGTGTTATGTCATGTTAGTAATAAAATCAGTTTTTTAGCTAAGTCAAGTCAAGTCCGCTAACTAGTTATAGTTTTTTTAACTTTTTAGGTAAGGTTTTATGTATATGTTTTTCTATGTGTTGACATGTTTTTTTTTATAGAGCTGTAATCCGTTTTTGGTCTAGTGGACATGCTTTTGTGGCTAGCAGGAAAAGCTTTCTGTATAGATATATTTCTGCATGCACACAAATTTTCGTAACGATTTTTGAAACGAACCTGGAGAGATTCTGTTGCAAGTCCAATTGCCAGGTTTGGCCATGAGCTTCGTAACCATGCCAAAACCACAGACCGAGTTTTTTTTTTGAATGCCGGAAACCATGTTTGCTTGTAAGTGGTATATCGCCATGTGGCTGGAAAGTTGATATTCATACAGGAATGCAACATGAGTGTTGTGAGAATTCTGTGATACTTTCGTGAGGTTTCCAAACCCAAGCCATCCAATTTGGCCTGCCCGTTTTCCCGCTCTGCAGAAGCCATGGTCACCATTGACAGCCATGTCGTCGTGAAATACCAAAACGAGCCATTCGTCGCCATTCCCCAGTACTTGATTGTCGAAAGCTCCAGTGGCCAAAAGTTTCTGCAGATGCGAGCCTCCAGTTTGCCCATCGTGCAGCTGCTCACAGGGGCCAAAAATCCCAGCAGAGCCAGCTTGACCTTCTACGAGCCCTTCAAGAAGTTGCACGAAAGTCGCAACAAGGCCATGGATCGCTATGCCAACGGCGACGAGGACCAGGGCGACGAGGCCAACCAACTCTTCGAAGACCAGGATGGGGAAGCCCAGAGGCAGCCCAGGCGTCACAAGATCCAAAACCTCCCAGAAACTATCAACATCCACGTGGGGAACGCCATTATTCCATGCCTGCTCCCGGAAGATCGCCGCCGGCCCAAGGCTGCAGACCTGGCAGTGCCACTGGAGAGCAACACCATCGGTGCCATCATCGACCACGTTCGTGCCAAAGTTGAAGAATTGGAGGCCCACATGCAGCAGCCCAAGAAGAAGGCCAAGAAGAAGCAGTAATAGGCTTCCGACCACTGCAGCTGCGACCCACCGCTTGGGATTGAAAAAAAGCGCCTCTGCGACTAAGCCATGCATTATGGAGTAAGAGGGAAGCTTTGTCCAGATGTCAAGTTTCTATACCATGAGTTTGGGCCCAGACTGCCCAGTTTTGCTTTTGCCACTTTTGGCCAGCTCCAAGCTTCTTGCCATGGCTGGTGTGCCAGAGAAGGTGGTCCAAGAAGTGGAAGCCATGATGTCCTCGACTGCTCCAGTGAATACGAAAGTGGACCAGATCGTCCAACTTCTAAGGACACATGGCCTTGCCCACGACCAAGTTCTGACTCCAAGTCAGATCTTGGTACACCCAGAAAACCGAGGCAAGTCCATGGTGTCCTACTACGACGTCTGGTCCAAGGGCAGCCAGATGACCAGTGTCGGCTTCCAGCCCAAGCTGCTCGACGGCCAGACCATCTGCACCCAAATGGCCACTGCCGAGACCAAGAGACTTGCCCAAGTGCAAGCCAACCGCCAGCTGGTCTCTGAGGCCAAGGGCCATCTGGCACCAGTGAGTGGCCAGGAAGGCACCTGGCTCATGCATGCTTATAATGTTTTGAAAATTGTTTGGTGTTTATAGACCATTATATAAGCCCTGTGTAGATGTTTGGTTCCCTGCCGCTCAGGCTTCCTCTCCCTTGCAGGGAGCCACAGCGTTGCCTTTCTCCGATGCCTCCAGGCGGGCATCCAAGGACCAGAGGGCTATCACGTCGCCGTTGCGAAGTCGGACCCAGCATGGCGAGCGATCGAGCAAGGATGGTGCTGGATCGTGCTGGCAGCATCCATTGAAGAAGCCATGCCACAACTTCCCAACTTTATTCAGCATGCTGCCAACTCGTCCAACTCAATATCCAAAGCCATCAACGAGTTGGAGGTTGCCCTCCATGTGGCCACTGCATTTGAGAAGGGCTTGAGCCTTCCAGATGCCATCCAGCAGGCCAGCCAAGGCGACGTGAGATGCCGTGCCAGTGTCCCCGCCATCGCCAAATTCGTCCAGAACTTCGGCGGCGGCAGCCAGGGGTTTCCACTCCTCCATTTCCTTGCCAATTTTGGGAAGCAGTTTAATGCCACACTTCTGGTGGGAACCGAGCTGATGTCCACCCTGGTGTCGCTAGATTTCAAGCAAGCGACGTGCATCTTTCCCATGCTTCGTGTGGCGGCATGGGCTACCATGTTGACCAGCCCAAAATCCCAAGACGGGTTCAGCCGCATCCTATCCACCAACGATCTCCAAAAACTGAAGGCACCAGGCATGCTCGACCAAGTTACCCAAGCCGAAAACATGCTCCAAGAGGCTTGGAAGGTCCAACAGGATCTTCTTGTGGAGCAGACCCACCATGCGTCCCACTTAACCAAATGCTTTGGTCGATTTGCAGTCAGAGTTTGTTTGTTCCTCACGAACAAACAAAGGGCAGGCCGGGAAACCAAGCACTGGCAATCTCTCCAAGCCATCTTGACTGCCTACACCAAGGAGATCCAAGACAGCTCGGCTGGCGATGCCATTGCGGACCACAGCATGACTCCAAACATGCAGGTGACTGATGTCTTGGCAGCCAGCAACAAAACCATTGCCATGCTCCAAAACAACCACATGGAACTGGGCAAGTTGTTGCTTGGAGCGGAAGCTAGCAATTGGCCTATAGCCGGAATATCCTTGTAAGAGAATATATACATAAGCATATAGGCAAGGAATATACAGATGTGGATAGATTCCTTGATGCCAAGTGCTGAGGTACACCACCAAGGACCACGGTGCCAAGGTGTTCAAGCTGACGGATGTCACGGACGACCATGCCACCATGACTCACAAGCCACTCTTCCAAGATGAGGAAGAAGTCCATGTGCCATTGCAGAAGCTGCCAATGTGGAAGGCCACCAAGGCCATGATGCCGATGTTGTGCCCCCAGGATCTTGCCAGGGAAGGAATGACGGCGAAGCTTCTGTTGGAGGAGCGGGCCAGGTCGGAGGTCCAGCTGGCTCTCCACAGAGCGGCGGAAAAGCACCATGTGGATGCCCAGACCATCGCTTTCGGCCAGAACCCGCAGGGGTTGTTTGCCATCAAGACAATTCGCAAAACCATTCGTTTGGTTCCACTGGGCACGGTGAACAAAGCCAAGTCGACCGCCAAGGAAACGAAGCTCCTCATCCAGCACGGCGGCCACAGCTGGACCATTGGGCCGTTCCGCCAGAATGCGCAGTTCGAAGCAGACAGTGCGTTTTGCTTGATTCCATATTTCTGGTGCAAGCCCACGAGCGAAACCTCCGAGGTCACCATGGTTCACTCCACGGTCGTCGAGTCTGGGATTACCATCCCATGCTTGGAGAATCCTGCTCCGCTGGAACAGCACCAGCCGCTTTTGTTCCTGGCGGCCCATGCCGAAGCTTCCGAAGCAGACCACGGCGAGCCAGAGCCATCAGAGGCCGAGCCTAAAGCCAAAGCCAAGGCCAAGGCCAAGGCCAAAGAGCAGTCTGAGCCTCCTTCCAAGAGGGCCAAGAAGTGAAGAGCTTTTGCAGCCCCAAGGGAGCGGGCTCCACTTTAAAGACCCAAAGACCATGGCGGGTTTTGAAGCCAGCCGCCAGAGTTTTGCTGGAGAAGAAAGGTTCGCAAAGGTGTTTCCCGAAAGGGCAGGGGTGCATTGTTGCATGCATGTGCCATGTGGCTTTTCCATGAATGGACAGCATGCATGAATTGTGCGATGTTTGGTATAATTCTTCTTCGTCCATGCACAGCAGCTGTTTGCCAGACAAGGCCAGAGGCTGTCCACAGCAATCCATCATGGAGCTTGCACCTGCAGCCGCCCCTGAGCCATGCGAAACTCCAGGCTGCCAGCGGTTTGCCAACTTGGGCCAAACCAAATGCTGCAGGAAGTGCAGCCAAGGTGGCAGCCATTCCAGCAGATGCTCGGCCAGGCAGGACCACTTTGCGGGCAAAAGGACCAGCGGCACCACCGGCATAACCGGCACTCCTCTCCGCTTGAACCCAAAGTGGGTGCCCATGTGGTTCGGTGCCAGCCTCCGGGTGCGGACCTTTCTCCTCCATGCCCACGAGACCATGGAGGAGTTCCAAGTGTCCATGGAGCCATCCACAGCATCCACGTCCTTCCAAAACTGGCTTCGAGCTCAACTGGTGGCTGTGCATGAAGCCACCCATGGTGACCAAGGCTCCAATGCTGATCTCACCAGAATAATCAAAGAGCTTCTGCACCAGCCATGAGCATGCCTGGACGGTGTGAAAACATGTGCTTGCAGGCATATACACATGTGTATATATATATATATATATGTATATAAGCAGTTGTTTTATGAATGTATTTTTCTGCAACCGTGTAGAAATTTCTATAGATGTACATGTATATGATATATACCTCTGTATACATATGTTTGTGTAAATGTTGCATCTCTGAAGTTTTGCTACAGAGTGCCAATGTGGCCACTATATGTCCATAAATACAGGCTATGCATGTATGTAATATATATATATATATATATATATATATATACATACATGTTCATACTTATACATACACATACAGATTTATGTACATATCCCTATCTGTACTGCCAGAGTGGCTTGCATCTTATATGTATGTATATATATATATATATATCGGCCGATGTGGCTTGCACCATTTCTTCCCGAAAGCTTCGCGAAGGGTTCTTCCGTGTGGAACGCCGCAGTTGAGTACATAGATGACAGACATAGAATCAACTTACTTGACTCCATACTTTACTCTACACTTGATACTTGACTCTACACTTGATACTTACTTACTTACTTGTGACTTACTCTGTGACTTACTCTGTGACTTACTCTGTGACTTACTCTTGACTTACTCTGTGACTTACTCTGTGACTTACTCTGTGACTTACTCTTGACTTACTCTGTGACTTACTCTGTGACTTACTCTCTGACTTACTTACTCTCTGACTTACTCTCTGACTTACTCTGTACCTCTCTACATACTCTCTACATCTCGTGACTTACTCTTGACTTACTCTGTGATTTACTCTGTGACTTACTCTCTGACTTACTCTCTGACTTACTCTCTGACTTACTCTCTACCTCTCTACATACTCTCTACATCTCGGTATCTAAATCTCTCTTCTAAAGCCAGGGGTGGCACCGTCGTCGTCCATCGGGAATGCAACCCTTCCCAAGGATTCGCCTCCTCGAGCGCCCAAACGCTAGGTAAAGTTACACATTTTAGGCGCCCGGCGCAACCCTTCCCAGGGATTCGCCTCCTCGAGCGCCCAAACGCTAGGTAAAGTTACACATTTTAGGCGCGCCGCGCAACCCTTCACAGGGATTGGAACTCTCGAGCGCCCAAACGCTAGGTAAAGTTACACATTTTAGGGTTCCCGCGCAACCCTTCACAGGGATTCGCCTCCTCGGGCGTTCAAACGCGAGGTAAAGTTACAAATTTTTCGGGCGCCGTGAACCCTTCACAGGGATTCGCTTCCTCGGGTGTTCAAACGCGAAGTAAAGTTACACATTTTGCGGGCGCCGCGCAACCCTTCACAGGGTTTGGGCGCAGCTCAACTGCATTTTGCAACCCTTCACAGGGATTGGCATTTTGCAACCTTTCACAGGGATTGGCATGGTCGAATGCACGAACGCTAGGTAAAGTTGCATTTTTTGATGTGCATTGAAATGAATTTTGCAACCCTTCACAGGGATTGGCGTGGTCGAGTGTTCGAACGCGAGGTAAAGTTGCAATTTTTATGTGCATTGAAATGAATTTTGCAACCCTTCACAGGGATTGGCGTGGTCGAGTGTTCGAACGCGAGGCAAAGTTGCAATTTTTGATGTGCATTGAAATGAATTATGCAACCCTTCACAGGGATTGGCGTGGTCGAGTGTTCGAACGCGAGGTAAAGTTGCAATTTTTGCTGTGCATTGAGATGAATTTTGCAACCCTTCACACAGATTGGCGTTGTCGAGTGTTCGAACGCGAGGCAAAGTTATTACTTTTGATGTGCATTGAGGTGAAACTTGCAACCCTTCACAGAAATTGGCGTTGTCGAGTGTTCGAACTAGTACTAGTACTACTACTACCACGACCACTACTACAACTATTATTACTACTACTACTGCTACTACTACCACTACTACAAAAGAATACTACTACTACTACTACTACTACTACTACTACTACTACTACTGCTATTACTACTAGTACTACTACTACTACTACCACTACTACTACCACTACTACTGCTACTGCTACTACTGCTACTACTACTACTACTACTACTAGTACCACAACAACAACTACAACTACAACAACAACACCAACTACTACTACTACTACGACCACGACTGCGACTACGCGACGACGACTACTACTACAACTACTACGACTACCACTACTATCACTACTACTAGTACTGGTACTGCTAGTACTACTACTGCTACTGCTACTACTACTACTACTACTACTACTACTACTACTACTACTACTGCTGCGACATAAAGTGACCATGCATAGAGTCATAAAGTCACGTTGAAACCACAGTAATCAGGGATGTCTATATAGTGAGGTTCCGGAGCTAGGAAAGGAAGACTTCTGCGTCATGTTGGACTATACTCTAAACCCGCTAAACCTGAACATTAGTGTTCATAGAGTGAACTACATCAAGTCAAGTGCGTGGTACATAGATGACTCCATGACTCTATCACTCTTTCTCACTCTGACGCTATGACTCTATAACACTATGACTCTATGATTCTGTCTCACTGTGACTCTATGACTCTATATGACTCTATGACTCTTTGAACTATGACTTGTGCTTGACATGTACTCGACGCTATTTCTCGATGACTCTATGAACTATGACTTGTACGACTCTTGACTGTATGTGACACTCCGACTCTGTGACTCCGTGCTTTTGACTCGGTGACTCTATGACCCTATACACTGGATTCTATGACGTAGCGTAACACTCTTCGCTGATGATGCTTTCGGGCCAATTGTCTTCTAGTTTCTTAATTTGCCAATGTGGCCGGTTCGCTTTGCAGAGAGAGAGAGAGAGAGAGAGAGAGAGAGAGAGAGAGAGAGAGAGAGAGAGAGAGAGAGAGAGAGAGAGAGAGAGAGAGAGAGTAGAGACACTCAACGAGACCTTGCATGAGATTCTTGAATGGTCTGCGGATGCTGCAGCCATTCTTGCCAAGTGTTGGCCTGCCCCATAGTGCTCCCAAGCCACCAGCCCTCCAAGATGGCCCCGAAGGCAGGTGCAGGGTCTCCATTTGGGTCCTGCTTTAGATATCTAAAGGGCTCATAACGACCCTGCAGGCACAAGCCATGAAGCCCCAGCAGGACTCCAAGGCCACGGTCTCCAAGCAGAACATGAAGAAGCCGGCCGCCAGCAAGACCACGGAGAAGCCAGTTTTGCCAGCCGGCAGCAAGACCACGGTGGAGCCAGAGGCCATGGACCCCATGGAGGACACTTTGGGCATGACCAAGGCCCAGCTGCAGGCCATGTTTGGCCCAGGCTTCGAGCCAAACTTCGAGGAGCCAATTGGGGGCCATTTGGCACTCCATTGCTCCAAACCAGGCTGCAGCAGCTGGGTGTGGTGCCACAAATTGTACCAGCGGAAGGTTTGCGTGCAATGCGGGCAAGTCTGGCTTCGGTCGTTTGTCGACCATGGATGCCGGCTCCAATGGCATGACTGACCACTTGGACCATGATGGCTTGGTGGAGTGAAAAAGAGAAGTTGCAAGCCTTTATTTGTCAAAAGGCCCGTAGCCTATATGTCACCCCTTAAGCCTCCAAGCCTATCTCGGCCCAAGGCTCCAAGCATACAGGGTTTCGCCTTTGATGGCTCGTTATTTCGCTAGGAGCACATGACATGTTTCTAGATGTCAATATATATATATATATATATATCTATAGATATATACATATATGTGGTCAGAAGGCCCGTATCCTAGATGTCATCCCACAAAGCCTCCAAGCCTATCTAGGACCAAGGCTCCAGGTTTCCAGAGTCCCTGCTATAGTTTCGCCTTTCATGGCTCGCTTTTTCGGTAGGTGCACTTTACATGTTTCTATATATGTCTTGCTATATATATATATATATATATGTATATATATAAAGACATGTAGGTATTTCTTTATATAAACAACTAATTTTCCTACAGATTTTGATATATAGAGAATTATGTATATATACTGGCAAAGCTGTATACACAAAGTATGTCTAGTCACAAACACAGTTTAGAATTGTTGATCCTGCCACTGTGCTGCAGCCTTTCGTGCTCCAGCACACTTTTGCCATCCACGGCCAGCTTTGCTTTTGCATTTTGCACCATAATGTCCGGTGCCGCTCCCAAGAGCAATGCCAAGGCAGCCATGCCCACGGCAGCCTCCACAGCCTCCACGGAGGCAGCGGTCCCCACGGCAGCTCCAGCCAAGGCCCCTCCGGCCAAGGCCCCTCCGGTGCTTGGGCCATGGGTGGCACCCATGCCAAATCCAGCGGTTGCACCATTGGTGCTTGCAA